AAAAGGTGTCCCAGCTCGCAGTATAGCTTGTAATTTCCCGACATGGAACACGCGATGACACCGCCTGCGAAAGGCTTGAAAAGAGCGACGAGATCACCATTGCATGAAATGGATGGAATAGATCGAGATGATGATGGNNAACGAGTCGAGGTGCAAATGTCGCTCAGATGGCTAACATCGTACGCAATGAGATCCAGCGAGCCTTGGCCCCAATGAATGAAAAGCTTGATCATATTCAGACCTCCTTGGGCCAGAAAGTGGAGGACATTGAACACACAGTGTCTGCTCAAGGGGTTCGGCTTGAGAAGCTGGAGCAACGAGTAGCCGAAATCGGAGACACTCCACGTACAATTTTGTCGGATCGAAGCTTAGATTTGGAGGGCAAGGTGCAAGAGTTACAGTCACAACTCGCATCTTTGAAGTCGTCGGAGCTCGCCGTCCAGCCAGATCATGCTCGAACGATGGTCGTAGGTGGATTGGACAGCTTATCCTCCGTACAGGACGCTACCAAGTGGCTGACGCAAAAGTTGAGTTCACTCAGTTCGCCTCCGCATATCGGCACGTACATGAAGTCGCAGGAGTTCCGTGGATTGCTATTTGCCAAATTCAAGTCCAGTGTTGATCGGGACACGGCCGTTGCTTTGCTCAGAAGTGCGGAGTTGCATGAGAGTGGCAAGAGGATTTGGGCAACGCAAGATCTCCCATTACAGAAACGTGCTCAAAAAGTTTTCCTCATGGGACTGAAATGGCAGCTTGGGGAATGGGGCTTCATGAAGCGAGACATGGAGATGAACGACAGCTATGATCGCCTGAAGGTTGGTGAGGGTGTTGTGGTTTCGTTGTCTATCAAAGCTCAGCAGCTGGAATGCCAGTGGTCTGACGAGTGGGCGCGCTGGGCAGAATTTCAAAACAGTCCGGAACTTCATCAGTTGATCACACGAGCAAATGAGATGCTGCAAAAGGACATCACAAACAAGGGTAAGGGCAAGAGCAAAGGTGGTCGTGGCACTGCCTAGGGACATCTCCGTTCGAGTCCATTTTCGGAACACGCACCTGCGTTTTCATCTGGCGCAGAGCTTGAATTTTCAGCAGGTGCAAATTCTCAGTCGCTCACGACAGGCCAACCTGTTCACGTGGTTAAGTCGACGAAGACAAGACGTGGCGATGATTCAGTGCATGTGAATTCAAATCAGGCGCATATGCACATTTACTGTAAAAATGCACGACTTCATTCAAATGTAAAACTTTTGGAGTTAGTGGGTGAGATACAGCAATGCATGTGGGATGTGGTCCTTTTCAGCGAGACTAGGGCCGACATCGACAAATTAACATTGGATGGAGGTCATTTATTGTATGGTTCACGCAAGGCCACAACTTGTGCAGGTGTTGCAATTGCGTTACATTCGAAGCATAAAACTTGTGTGCAACAAGTTCGTGTACTCGACGACCGCTTGATGTATTTGGACCTGAAGAACGGTGCGCGCGTTATCCGGCTTGTGTCAGTATACATGCCCCACGCTGGATATCCGATCGACGATCTACGACGCCTGTACGAACAGCTACAATATGTGCTTGAAGATGCTCGTCGTCGCGGTTTCACATACATGGTTGGAGGGGATTTCAATACGCAACTGGGCGTTGGAACACGTGGCGATTTGCTTGAACAGATGTGTTTAGCCTATGGCCTTGCAGTGTTGAACAGGGACTCACGTATACAGGAGTCATGGACATTCGAAAGCAGCATGGGCATCAGGAGGCGTATTGACTTTTTGCTATGCCATGCTTCATTGAGTGTGCAATCAGCTTGTACAAGTTGCAATTTCGATTTGGGTTCCGATCACAGGGCAGTGCATGGATGCATTGAGGTGGAAGCATGTCGAAAACCACGTTTTGCACGTCAACGTTGTCGACGCGGATGGCACCCGACTGCCCCAACAAAGATTCTGTACCAATCATTGCTCGATGACTGGTTGCGAAAATCAAAGCCGCAGACGCTATCGGAGCTTGAAGAT